CTTCATAAGTATGTAATGTAAAATTTAGATTCTGTGACTTCTTACGTTTAAATCTTGATAATTTTCTAGTAATTTAAAATTCCAATGTAATTGTCCTTATACAATTCTTTTCGAAAGAATTTACGAAAAGTGGTCTTGGATTAGAATTAATAGTACTATACTTGTTTCTAGAGGAATCGAGCATAAAACTCTAAACTTATTTAACCACTCCACTACGAAGGCTCTACCTTTTTCGTATTTAAGTAATTAACAAACTAAAATGATATGTAACTAAAAATATTTTTTCTAATTACATTTCTTTTTACAATTGTATATCCAACCTCTGTCCAACACTAATTATTGTTTTAATTATCGCTACAACTAGTGCTTTAATAAAGAAAAATAACAACCGTTAACGCGCTATTAATAACGTTATCGGCTATATACAACTCATAACGTTCCATCCAACGCTACATCTTAATTCACTAACAGAAAGTCACAATATGGCCGACGGAGTTTTTCAATAAAACTGGCAACATCTGGCGAGACACTTAAGCGCGGGGGCGCGAAAGAGATGCCACCTTACAACATATATTGAGTGGGAGTGAGATGGTGCCACTGGGGTCGGACAGCGAAATTAATATGTCCTTTTTCTTAGCATTTTCGTCGGAACTCTCTTTATTGATGTTGGTGTGCTCCATTAGTATATATATATTTTTTGTTGTCTTGTCCTATTAGATGCTGTTAGTGAGCAATTAGGGGCGTCGAAATAAATAATACAAATTGTATTTGTTTCATTAAGGTTCGTAAGGACAATGGTTCGTATTCTGTGAAGGTATTGATGCCATCCAGTATTAAGGATTGTGTTTTCTGTTACTAAATATAAACATTCTTTACAATATGAAAAAGTAAATATCTATCTGAACACCATAAATTCGAAAACTATGAAATCTATTTTCATGAGGTCTTAATCAGTAGATTTGACAATAAAGGAGGAAGGTTTCTCTTTAAACTAATTATTGATATAACGTCAACTTCGTCCTGCTCCGTTCCACTCTATGATATTAAAAATAGGTTAGTTAGAGCAGAATAGATGACAAAAATTTTCACGATATATAAATGACAATGTTAAAAGTATAGTCGAATTTATAAGATACATCTTGCTAATCAATCTTTTAAAGTCTGGCCAGTTCGATAATATATTAATTATTGTTTTGATCCTAAGAAGCGTCATGAAAATAATGTATATACATACTAAATATACATCTTTGGCATTAACTCATCTGGGTATCATACTCTAAGCGTCGACTGGTTGTGGCAACGAGTGCAAGTAGCTTGATTATTAAATACATAGTAGGCTAATATTGAATCTTAAATTGAAAAAAAAGTGTTAGACATAATTTTAATTCAACCCTTCATTTGAGTTGTTCTCTATTTCATTCTCCTTTATCGTTCTTCAAGAGTCTATTATAAGAATCTATATTTCTCTTAATAAGTGATTGTGACAAACTAACAAAAGGCGTTAAGGATGTGGAGAATAGGACTCGTTTTTTATTTTCACCCACACTCCCATCACTTATTTAACAAAACGAATTTTAATGTGTTTTCTAAAAGAATCAAACGTTTACAAGTTCCGTATTCAAAAGACTGAGACGTTAGTCGTCTTAAAATAATTAAAAGCGACATGAAGTCTTTAAATGAACTTATGCTCAACCATAAATACTATTTTTTTTTTATCCGTGATGGTCTCACTCTTGACCTCAGGCGTAATAGCATTAAGTGTAAAGCCTAAGATGGGACAAGTTTGCCCAGTTGATAAAATGATAAAATATGATTCAAATATATGTATATCTTATGAAAAAGCTTGACCTGGTTCACCGACTGACTCATCATCGGCGAGTGTAAACTATTGAAATTGGACTTATTTTATCATTGGTAAGTAGAGTTCCAAGGAAGGATTCCTGGAAATTCAACTGCTAAAGAATTAATAAAGTTTGTAATATTGTCAGTCAATTTTGAAGTTGGAAACAAGGCAGGAACACCTGTTTTGGGTAATGAAAAAAATACCTGTTTTAGCGTTTGGTGAAATTATCTCAGCGCATAAAGTAAGTATAGTTATAAAAGCAATATAAAAAAAAAATTAGTATATATAAGTCATATGTATAGAAGTCTATAATTTTAAAACATGAAACTTTAGGAAGCTTCAACACGACCAATTGTGTTTTTTATAATACGTTTATATAATTTATAATTAGGACTAAATAATGTGTTTAAGGACGTAAAAGATTGTCTAGGAATTCATTTTATTTAATTCTATAACAATTCTAAAAATGCCTAGACATTTCATTAGTTATGCAGTATGTCATAATAATATTGCCGTTTTTGGAGTTAAAAATTATAAAAGCACTCACTGATAAAGCTATCAAGGGGATAACCCCTTGATATACGTTAAAAAATGATCATAAAACATTTATAATACACGAAGCACGCTTTAGTGCAAACAAGTAATTACGACTTTCCCAAGAAACTTTAACGTAGAAAAGAAAAGAAATAATTTTATAACGATTGCTTTCATTTAATTACGTAATGTTAAAATAGCATAATTTCTGAAAATTATGCTATTTTTAACCCAACGTTGTTTATTATTGGCATTTGTTACATGTTATAAAAGCTAATATACTGTATAACTATTAATTACAAACATTATTTTTTAACGCATATTTAAATAAGGAGGATAATTAATAAATGATATTGTTTATTTATTACTGACTCTGAACCTAAATTATTGACATAACGCATAATCAAATGCCGAAATTTGTCAGAATTGTAACAATCATTCATTTAAACAAAACATAATGAAATGTTATTATCAATTTGCCTACACACGCCTCAAGCGAAACTTATGATTCAACTTGTAAATAAATTACAAAACAGAACAAAAAGAAATTGAGTCTCTTAAGCTATTTTATTATGGATCATACTTCTTTACAATCGTTAACATTTTCTCTGCTATTAATCTATATTCAAAATGAGATTTATTTAGAAATAATAGAATATAGATCAAAAGCGAAGAAAAATAATAAACGTAAGTATCACATCACCAGCCCTTTTACGTCCCCACTGCAGGGGCTCAGGCCTTCCTTTCCTTTATGGATGGTTAAGGAGGATGGGCCATGACCCTCCACGCTGGCCCAATGCGGATTGGAGGGTATTAACGACTGCAAATGCACCCGGGACCAACGGCTTAACGTGCCTTCCGAAGCACGGAGTAGCTCGAGATAATAATTTTTTGGTCACCCATCCCGTGACCGACCCTAGCGAAAATTGCTTAACGACTACGATCGCGGGCCGCGGCGCTTATCCACTACGCCACCGAGCTACTCGTAACGTAAGTATATTTTAAAATAAACGTATAATATTTGTCATCGAGCTTCAAAATCATTTTACTACAAATACAATACATATTATATGTTTTTATTCATAAATAAATTATAATTATACGGCAATAATACGAGGGTCAAACTGAAAGTTCTTAGAAAATCAAAAACTGATTACATTAGCCAGTTATTAGTTTTATTATATCTTTTCAAAATATTGTCCATTCACGTCAATACACCGCTGCATGCGATGGAACCACTGGGAAAAGCACTTTGCCCACTCGTCCTTAGGGGTCTCTTCAATGGCATCGCGATACGCAGCCACCGCTTCTTCAGCATTCATAAACCGCTTTCCTTTAAGTTTTTCTTTAATTTTTGGAAATAAATAAAAATCACAAGGCGCGAGGTCGGGGCTATACGGCGGGTGACCCAGTAATTCAACGTTTGATGTCGCCAAATAGTCGATCGTTCGCTTGGCGGTGTGCGACGAGGCGTTGTCGTGGTGAAGGAGGATCCTACTGCGAGGTCGTTTCTCTCGAACTTTTTCCAAGACAAGTGGCAAACAATTGGTAGTGTACCATTCTGCAGAAACTGTTTTTTGATCCTCTAACACAATTGTTGCAAAATGACCTATCCTTCCAAAGAACGAGGCCACCATTTTTTTTCCCGCACTTCGATCTCTCTTCACTTTAGTTGGCAACTCCTCGAAAGGAAACACCCACTGAGCAGATTGTCTTTTGGTTTTAGGATCATAACAGTAAATCCAGCTTTCGTCACCTGTTAGTATGTCGAACACAGCATTTGAGTCACCTCCGTTAAATCTTTCAATCATTTTACGACACCAATCCACACGATGGAGTTTTTGAGCCTCAGTCAAATTATGAGGTATCCACCGGGCGCAAAGCTTCCTGACCGCTAAATGTTCGTGGAGGATTTTGTGCACTTGACTCATACCGATGCCTAAGCTTGTCCGAATCTGTTGATAGGTCACTCTTTTGTCAGTCTCTATCGTACGCCGCACAACACAGATGTTATCTTCAGTCGTCGCCGTAGAAGGCCGTCCCTCACGTAAATCATCAGTGAGATTAGTGCGACCACGTTTAAACTCATTAAACCAGTTGTAAACAGTCGCACGAGATGGGGCTTCATCGTGAAAGGCCAATCGTAGTCTATCATAACTTTCTTGTTGACTTAAATGACATCGAAAGTCATAAAAAATCATTGCACGAAAATTTTCTCGTGTTAAATTCATGATGACGTGACACAGACAATTTTCAATTTGCCGCCAAATCGTAAAACAAATGACAAATGAATGAAATATATACTCAGTAATATTGGCAAAGAGTTATATTTTCAAATTTTAGAATTATTTTTTTATTATATTGTTTATAAGTGGCCAGTTCTAAGAACTTTCAGTTTGACCCTCGTAGGCTGAGCCTAAGCTAAACGGAAAACGGAAACGGAATACAAAGAAAATTTCCAAAATCAAAACGCGTGAAGAAATAAATATTTGAATTGAAAGAATTGCAGGAACGAAAGACGACGCGGAAAACCGACACGTAAACCACTGGACCATGGATGTAGTTGGTTATATATTAGATCAGTTTTTGAGGAACTGCAAACACTGTAATGTAATAAATAAATCTAAAGTAACGATGCCATGGTTTTACTCGGTATCAAAGGTTTTAACTCACCGTTAACGTTACTAGTCTTCACAGTTTCCTCCCGGTCGCCTAAAATAGCACTTACACTGAATTTCAGTGTCGGTTTCTTAGGTTCATTGCTGAACTCCTCACAACTCCTGACTATTTCATCAGTGCTATATCTTTCCCTGTCCCCCTCATCACCAGAATTGTCTTGGTAATTTAAATTAAACCGTTTCTCTAGCTCCTCTAGTCTCCTTATACCGGATTTCTTGCAAGCAAACGGTGGACACTCGTTTGACCCACAACTTTGGCATCTACGACTCAAATTTGGAATATTCAATACCTCTTTGTCACTCCTCTCTTCGTTCCTCTGATAAAACTCATTGTAATATGCCTGTTCGCTTTTAACGTTATAACTTTCTTCGTCGTCTCTACTTTTTGAGTCCTCGTCTTCGATTTTTGAGTCTTCGATCGATTCGTCGTTGCGAATCTCGTCTTCCACTTCCGCCATCTTATGTTCGTCAACCTCAGGGGTGTTCTCTCTGGAACGTTCGTAATGCTGTCTTTGCAACATATAATTTTCGATCTGCTGATTCAAATACTGATTGTGGAAATTGACAGTTTTCTGCTGATGCAAAATGTTGTCAACTAAGAAAGGTGAAGTCATATTGAAAGGGTTCGCGCTAGTTTTATTGTAACATAAACTTTGTATCGTTTTCAACATAATGTTGTGGTCCAAACTCTTTTGTGCAGCGAAAGGGTTCAACTTCAACGGTCCATGCTTATTATCCGTCGGGTACATTGTACGTTCATAATAGATAAATAAAAAATAACGTTATTAAAACGCAAATATAAAAATAACGTTAGAAATTCCAGTAGAAAAACTGCACATCACTAAAAAGTTGGGACACAAAATAACAAGAACAACCAAAGTTCGAAATTCAAATGTTTGAAATTCGAAAATCGGCACCGTCCGAATTGCGCATGCTCAATCGTTTAGCACATGTTTACAGTTTTGTGGCAGCATCGCGACTGACTTAAAGGGAGTGGTTCTTTGCAAAGGGGCGGGTTCTAGGGGAGGCTTTTTAGTTGAGCTTTTGTGTGGAAAGGACCACTCGATATGAAGCGTTCGTCCTATACAAAACACTCTTAACAGCTTTATAATAAAGTTCACATTTCAAGTTTGAACGGGCCAATGATTCTTTGACTCTATATTCACTTACAAATTTTTATTTGCGTTAAATATTCTTTAATTTCGTTTCAATGTCGATATTATTAAAGGTGTTACAGTTATTTTTGAGTGTTGTGACGCTTATGCGGTGTTGATCGAGATAACATTCCTTCTATGTGTGTTATATTCAAAGGCATGAAGGAGAAAGGATGTATGTTTTATTTTTCTTGTTTGTGACGGATTTTCTTTTATTTATTGATTTTTAATGCTTGCGGTTCATTTCCTCGCGCCCTTGTTTTTTTCCAGAACTGATTTCAATAACAATTGACGCAACTTATTGACGGGAAGCTTGATGACGCAGTAGTTAGCGGGTTAGTTCTGAGATTATGGAGAACGAACCATTTTTGTAAGTGAGACCAATGGATGGGTGACCATTTTACTAACGTAAGCTTTTCTACGCCGGTACTCGTACTACCTGCTTATACACCATGTACATCCAGCATTCCAGACTTGGTTCGTTGATTGTATCGATAGAAGAACATTCTATTTGCACGAAGAGTTCCCTAGGTACCATTATCTATTAATACGCAGAAAAGTTACAACCTGACGAAGTGATGACAGACTCAGGGACAACAGTTTCAGTGATAAGGTCACGTTTTTACGAAACCCAAAAATGGCGTCTGTTTCGGTATACCGAGAGTAAGCAATTGAAACACATATTAGGTGCCTGCTTGTTTTGATATAACCTGTTATTACATTGGATTGTCATGTCCTCCAGATTCCGCTAGGTACTATAACCATTATGTAAGAGGAAATAATGACCCCGATGAATTATGTTGGTACAGCTAACAGCATATCTGTAGAATCTCTTCACTTAATTTTAAACTTTAATGCATTGACTAGAGCTGTAGAGTTGAAAACTAATACATTAATAATTTGTCATTATAATTTATATTTATTTATGATCTCTTACTGCGTAGTCGAATGAATTAGTTTCCTCGACTAAAACATATATTTCTAACTAATTTTTTGTAACCTATTTTGAGTACCGGTAGGATTTGCGTATATTAGACCTACTAATAGCCCTTAGTTCCCAACAAACAGGTAGGTCGCCTGATTATTATCTGTGGTATTATTATTATTACCTAGCGTTATATTTGCTCAAATAACATAAAATTGATTCTTGTTATTTAGATTAATGTTAACAATAAAGAAATCATTTGGGTGGAACTTTATTTATGTGTAATTCAAGTTTTTGACATACCAATCATTACGCGCCAAAAGTGAGCAAAACATTACATACGACTCGGAACTGGTTTGACAGCTCACTCCACGCTCTATGCGATTATTCAAAATGGGTGAACAAAAGAAAAGAAAAGCGTTACGAAGAAAAAGGATTCCAATTTTGAAATTAGCCACACCCACCTCTATGTTATTGGCTGTTGTGTTGAACACTAAAAGGTTTATGTTCACCTATGTGTAGAAATGAAATTGGTTTATTATTTCCATAACAATAAAGTTGAAATTACTTCAATCGTTCAAAAGTCATGTTGAAGTTTTGAAATGTAATAAGTGTTCATGGGTGCGCAATGAATATTAATGTCGGTATTTTGATTGTGAATTGACAACATTAGGTCAGTATTTGATATACTTAGTCTGTAATAAAAGCTGTGACACGCGGGACATGATTCGTATACGAGTACATTAGTGACCATGTTTTTACTCATTTAGGGATTAATAGACAACATGCATGGGTGATTAACGAAATAAATATCTTTATAATTTTCTATATTGTAATGGAAAGTGATTCGATACTCTAATGCAGTCATTTTTTATTGAAAAATCTCTGTATGAAATAGAAAAAAGAGAAAAAAGCAGCCCTTGCTGAGTTTCTTGCCCGTTCTTCTTGACTTGCCCCCTGACATTGGCCCCGGGGGGCAAGTCCCCCCTCCTTAAATCCAGGCCTGAATTATGTTTTTTTATAAATAATTGCTCCGAAATTTTAATTTATTAAAACTTTATATCTAAAATTTTAGTTTGAGAAGCTGCTAATATTGGTTTATATAATTTTTAAGCATTTCTCATTTATTTTCCAGTATAGCATTGTGAATGAAAAATTGATCAAATACCTGCGTTTGATAAAATTCAACTTTTCTTATTTATAAAAAGAAAACAAACTGAAACAGTAAAAACTATTGATGATACAAAAAACAAAAGAACATTATAAATAATATAAACATAAACGTTTTTTTATTTATCAATGATACGATGATGATATAAATAAAACGTTAGCGAGAGAGTGTTAGTCGGTCGCAACTAGTTTAGTTTCACTTGAACCAACTAAACATAAAGTATAAGCATTTACGATGCGACAAATTTCATTTGACCTACGATTGCGGATAAGTTGCTTGCAAAGGTCATGTCACGTGACCAAAAAACTGTTATTACTTCCGTTCCTCCTGCTACTGCGTAGATTCTCTCTCTCTCTACTGGAAGAACATTAGTGGTTTGATCTAGCGAAATTTGCAAATGTCGTCTTTAAAGAATTTATAATTCGATTTTAATATGCGTCCCGATATCTGTATCAGAAATATTAATATATCTTGCGAAATCAATTTATAACTTTTCGAAAGTACCCTACCTATTTAAGTAATAATAAATTTAAATTTAACCCTTTGAAATGCTTGCCCATTTCATAACCGTGGTTTCTATTAAAATATGCCCCTCTTCTCATGCTATAATATAAAAATCAATTAAATTTAATTATTTAAATACGGAATGCATTTGACACAATTTACCGGCTAACAGCCGCACGTGGCGACATCTTTTGTTTAATTCGCCACGCCCGCGAATCACGATTTGTCACACAGATTCTGTTTTGTCATAATTATATTTATCGTTTTATTTATTACCGAATCTAATGATTTAATGTAATATTTCACGCCGCGTTTTTAATTTTATTCAAATGACGGGAGCCGATTCGGAATGGTTAACTGTGGTTAATGGTTTACCTGTCTTGGCGTTTTATTTAAACACTGTTTGGGTTTTATTTAATCTTATTATTATACAAATTATTATAAAGAAATAAAATTTCGTGATGAAAGTCATAAATACAAAAGTGAAAATACACATCAACCATACAGCAACTGAGCATGCGCCATCTCGTGTCTAATAGCATAACTAAATACGCCATCTGTTGTCCAATAGTAAAGATAGCAAAGATAGGTCTTATTCGTGTCACCTATTCATATTATATTCGATATAATTCCAGTTTAATGTCTAACCCAACCTGAACAATTTTATTATGCAAGAATAACTTCTAATTCACTTATATCGTAAAATAACAAATCAACGCCAGGAGCAGAAACTAATTTTTATCAGTGCTAATAATAAACAAGGTTTCGCGTCAGAGTAAATTTACGATAAAATTACAATTTGAGTATTAGTCCAAATTCATATTATAAGCAATCCTACTACCTTCTAGGAGTAAATAATATTCCTGTAGAACCTCCTACTAGGTTAACCTTTGCTAATTCTGTGTTTAATAATGTGAATTTTGACTCAGCGTAAATTTATTCCACCGCTTAACCTTGTTTATTAATAATACTGTAAAAGTTTTATTAATAAACAAGGTTTAGCATCAGAGTAAATTTACGCTAAAATTGCAGTTTTAGTATTAGTCCAAATTCATATTATACAGAGAATAAGCAAACCTACTACCTTCTAGGAGTACATATTACTTCTAGAAGTACATAGTTTCTGTTTAATAATATAAATTTTGAGTAATACTAAGTGCAGTCTCAGCGTAAATTTACTCTAACGCTAAACCTTGTTTATTAATAAAACTGTAATAGTCTAACAACTATACCTCGCTATCGGAATTTGAATTTGGTAGCTGGGCGTTTTAGAAATGGTTAAAAATATTTATGAAGTCGATAGTTACATTTTTTTTTTTAATATTAACCAACATCACATTGCTCAGATTTCAAGATGAGTAGCTAAAGCCCTTGTATTATGGAGTATCTGAGACAATGAATGTACCACAACATCCAGACCTGAGACAATATAGAAGAGTTCATTTTCTACATTGACCCGACCGCGAATCGAAGCCAGGACCTCAGAGATGGCGACACCTTGAAACCGGCGTGCGAACCAATCGGCTACTCGGCGGCTCAGCAAATGAATTTTATTTTAGTACAATTCTTACTTTATTTAACCTCTCTATAAAAACGTCTAGGTACCATATAGCACCTTTGATAACGGCTTCGAAAAATAGGTGTAAAAGAAATAAAAAACAGAAAAGTTAATCGAAACAAGCACATTTATTTAATACAATATCCATTATAATAGCAAATATACAAACATCTAGTACACAACTACTACAAACCAACTTTGGTCATACAACCACGTAGTTACCGTACGAGTCAAACATAATATGCATGTTAAAACAAACACATGTTACAACATGTTCGCACATGTTTCGACTTGTTAACACATTTTATAACATGCTATTGAATATTTAACATGTACATGCTGATTATCACACGGCGCCAAGAGCCCTTTAAACAAATCTATGTATTATTTATTAAATAGCGAATAAAATATAAAAAAAAAAATGAAAGAAGAATTAT